TTGAAAACGCAGTTCCTACTCCTACCACACACCTTAGTAAAAAAATTAAAAAGCTAATGGACATTGCTGCAGCATTAGGGATGAAAATCTACTGCTCACTGGCTTTGGCTTAAATCAGTAGTTTAAATGTGCAAGAAATCATGGAATTAAAGACAAAGCCCCCAAGTGTTAAACTACTAATGGGTACTGCAGGTCAGGATCCCGGATTTCACACCGTGTGCAACGTGCCTCTAAGCCCAGACCCTGCTGGGGGACAGTGGACAGGGAAAAAAAAAGAAAACCCAGCCAACCCAGCAAACAAAACTACCTGGCTTGTTTTTTCCACCACGGAGGCATATACTTCTCCCAGGCAAAAGCTTTTAGGGATAACATTCCCAAATCACTCAAAGATGCCTGCCCATCCTTTCTTACTGGTTGCTATGGTGAGAGATGACGGAGCCCCAGACGGGTATAATACGAGGCAGCACGCGGGGAAGGGATTTAGCAGAGGCAGGAGGCAGGCGAGCGGTGGGAAGAGGGGAAGGCGCTGCCCGCCCGTGGCCACGCTCCTCACCAGCACCGACGGCCACCACGGACCTGTCCAAGGAGGTAAGGGGCTGCCTGTGACTCTGGGAGGGCTCAGCGATGGGCGCGTGGGTGCTGGTCTGCTCTTCATGTGAGAACGGTTAAAACAGTCATCAAGATGAGCTGATTCTTGAGTGAATTCAAGGAAAGTTACTTATATGAGAAGAGAGAGGAAGAAAGAGAAAAAGAAACCGGCTCTATTGCATGCAGCTCCTGCTCTGAGCGCTCGGCCGGTTGGGAGAGATAACCCTGCAATGAAGCTCATAGAGCCCTTTGGGGATCTAAAGGAGTGATGTACTGAAGTGACTTGTGGCTGTTGCTAAACAGTAATTTGTTAGTGATCAGCGTCTCTTATCTGGGGGAGAGCTTTGTACTTATTATTCATATATTTGTATTTCCCTGAAAGCATTGATTTTATATTTCATCAACCTTCAGATTTCACATTTAAGATCCTGCTATTACAGTGTGAGATGCTGCAAGAACAGAAAGAGTTTGTACTCTATTAAGCAACAAGTAAGGTACAGAAAATGCAGCAACAACTTAAACCAGTGAATTAATTGTTATGCAGCTTTTTAAGTGGCATTTGGGTGTAAAATCAAAATATCTATTGGCAGCCTTACAAGGCAAGCTGGAGTTAGCTTAATGATCAGTTTACATTAATCACGCTTGCAGTATCTTTTCTATTCCATGGGAAGCAAAAATGCTAAAAAAACTTTCTATGTAGAGGACTAGTCAGAAAGAAGAGATTTTTTAAAAAATCTAACTACAGCATAAATTATGCTCTATGTCCCAGTTGGTTTTTTTGGTTATGGAGCAGGGTGATGCAGTAGTCTGAGCACCAACAGGATTAATCTTTTGTAATTTTAGCCATCTAAGACCTAGCATCTAATCTAAGCTAGCCAGGCGTAGTCCTGGCTCCAGTCTAAGGGCCAGTAAAGCTGGTGGAAATACTTCATGGTGTCGGTGGCCTTTGAGCCTGTACACGAATCGGGAAACTCAGCCTCTCCCTGCATCTGGTTTCAGGGGCACAATGAACATCGAAGTGCACAACATCACTTACACCAGTGCCACCGTCTCCTGGGCCATGAACAACCCCTGTCCAGAGAACTACTACCACGTCATGTACCGCCCCAACTGGAACAGCGTCTTCGCCGGCTATTTACGCCAAAACTTCCACCGCGAGGAGCGAGTTCCTCACCCCCTCAGCTCCCTCGTCCTCCACCGACTCACGCCATCCACCATCTACGTCCTCTGCATCACCTGCAAGAACTCTTACCCCTCCAGCAACCACTGCACCACCTTCCACACTCAGGACAAAACCCCCTTGGTTTTCGGCGGCTCTAAGCACGAACCTACGACCTCCATGTGGATGGTGAGCAGCCTGCTGCTCCTCTGCTTCATTGCTCTCCTGGCGTATGGCTGCCTGCAGTTCTGGTCTGCACGGTGCCACCGGGCTGCGAGGCTGAAGCATCCCGCTGCCAACCCCGAAGAAGTGGGAGAAGAGAGCAGCTCACCGGAGGGGCCGCTGAATGACGGACTGAGAGAGGAGCTTCTGGAAGTCCCCATGACCACTGTGCTAATGAGGAGCTCCAGTTTCATCCAGGAGAGTCCGTACAGCTCCCCCCACTGCTTTTTTTCCTATAAAACCAGCGACGATAAAAGGGCCATCCTGCCACAGCATGGCCTTCAGTGAGAGCAAAATAAAGGGAGACCCTGCTTAGAGGTTTGGTTCGTGCTATATGTCCTCGGGGGCTGTTTGTCCCAGGGTAGAACACGAGGCGGGGACATTGGTCGCAGGGAGAAAGGTTTTTGTCAAGTGACAAAAATATTCTCATTTGCTGGGTTTTTTAAAAAAGAAACCAAGTCAGCTCTCTGGGAACAGCCAGGCTCGGCTGACTATAGTGTCATTAGCTAATCTGCATCAGTGCTGTAGGTTCCCTTCAGAGTCATCAATCAACACGCGCAAGAAATAAACTCCACTCAAGCAGCTTCACACTTGAGCATCACACCACGAGCCCTCATAATGCCTGCATAAACAGTCAGCGCAGCCTGACAAAAGAGATTTTTGTCAGTATTAAGTAGTCTATATTTGCACACACAAGTGTTTTAGTAATTCCCATTTTGAACTACAAACGGGATTTCTGAAGTGGTACCTTCCTCAGGGAGGAGCTCCAACTCGCTCTCCTCTCTGGGCATTTGGATGGATGTGACTGGGTCTCAGTGCCAACAGTGCACAGAGCAGTGTCAGCATCTCTAACATAGGCATGTTATGGAGAAGAATATGGGAAAGCAATAGCAAAAGCACACCGAATCTGCTTCTTGCATGGCTTTTTGGTTTCACACGGCAACGTGACCCTACACATTTGCACCTGCCACTCTGTTAATGAACTAGTTCTTGCATTTCTTTCTTCCTAAATAAATACTTCCAACATTAACCCCGTCTGGCTGTTGTGGCTCATTTACTGACCTTGGATCCGTAGAGGTAATACGGCTGAACGTTGGCTGGCTTGTCCCGCTGGGGTTCCTGTGTGAATGGGATTGCTGTCCTCACAAACCTGTGGTGGGCGCGGGAGACGGGGAGGAAAGCGGTGAGAGCCCCGTTAATTGTGCTGAGTGCAGGTATGGCACAGCCTGGGATGAATTGCAGCTGCAGGCTAATTAGCAATTCACCACCTGGAGTGCAAACTCCTGCCCCAATCTATTGGTGGTGTAAAACGTCGGTTTAACCTACCAAAGGTGAGGTTTCTTCTCATTTGGGGCAGGCAAGAAACCCGTATGTGATCAGCTACCACAGCTCTGCTGCTCCGTAAACCAACCCTCCAAACCAAACTAGCTCAGTTGCTTGCAATCCCTGTCCGACTTTGTTGCCTGAATTTGTTAGTAACATTTTCAAGGCCAAGGGGAGCTGGTGGGCTTCAACTTCATCTGAACTCTAACTGTTGCATCCCATAGGGAATGAAAACTGCACCACAATGCGCGTGAATTTTATGTGGCAGATTTCACATTTTGGAAAGAAAAGGAGGGCCTCCAGATGCCCCCTGCTCTGCTTTTCCTCCTCACCTGTTGGTGGACCCATTGTAGCAGTAGTTGGGTAGAAAGTCAAAGTTGAGCTCCCAGAAGACGTGGAGGGTGATGCGCCCGTAGGGTGCGGAGACGTTGTGGTTGGCCTCCCGGAACATGGCGTCAAAGCTGTCCAAAGTCATGTGCTTGCACAGCAACCTGTGAGTCAGGCGATTTATTTCCAAGAGCCACTCCAGCTCCTGCAGCACATAAAGCAGCAGCAAATGCAACACATTACCAAGATGACAGGAGAAAGAGCTGATTTAATTGCCAGGGGAATGATTTTATATCCACATCGACACAGAACTTTCCAGGTGAGGATGTAGCAAATGCTAAAGACATCAATTTAACTCAGTGACAGAGGCCAATTGCACTTCTACTCAAGGGGTCCTGGTCCAGTATCTCCTAAACCTGCAGGAAGCAAAATTAATTTGTTCTCCACTGAGCACTGGGTGGCTTTCACATCAGAATCCTTCAAAGGTGGAAACTGGTAATTTTACACTACTTGACTTTGATGCTCCTGTAACGTATCAAAGGCAGCAAATTCTGTGCACACACAAACGATGTGTCAGCCACCTTCATCCAAAAGGGAGAATTAAAGTCAAGATTTCCTTCTCCCACGTTACAGGACTCTCTTATATGAGCTCTGCAAAATAGAACTGCTGACTGTCACCTTATGATTTATGCAGATACTGAATGGTCCAATAATAATAATGCAATTAAAGCTGCATAAATAGAAATAGTAGAGACTCAGTAGCATAAAGGAGAATACAGGGCTGCCTGAAACCTACTGTGGGTGGGACTTGAAGCAGAAGACAGTTGACTGTGTATGCATATCAGTGTATTATTCTCTCTATTCATACTCTTGGTCAGTAACAGTTCTTACCACTATGGATGTCAGGTCCTCACTCTCAAAGCGGCTAATGGCCTGGTCCAACGACTTGTACATCGCTGCTGAGATACGCTGGGTAATGAGCCTGTTCAGGTCAATTGACCTGCCCAGCAACTGGGAAAAGAAGAGAAGAGATTGGCATGTTATATACAGATGGGGAAAAGGTACTTTATTTTTAACAGACACAAATTAAAACCAAACATCCCAGTCCTCTTAAATGTGAAAGCGGTGATGTAAAGGCCTCAGTTGGGTTTACCATCACTTAAGGGGGAAGGAGGGAAATGTGGACCGTAACTCATTCTCCCCTTGGATCCCATGCATGAGTGCAGTGTGTCAGAAACAGGTTCAACCCTTCTTATTCCAGTATTGGTCTCAATTGAGCCCAGTACCAGGATGCCACCTACTAACAAAAGGGTAATAGACCAAGAGCTATGAGTACTGGAGTCTACCGCTTGCACTGTACCTGGACATGCCTCTGCTTGAGCAGTGTTTCGTAGCGGTTGGATGGTGGGTATGGAATAATCACCCCGTAATTCTTACATTCAGCCCGGAAACGTTTGTCCAATAAAACACTGAAAAAAGATAAAATATTGTGCCAAAAGCTATCACTAGTGACAGGTACTGGTGTGATCCCTCCTTGAAGATCTGCTGTGGGAACATTAGGTTGGTGATGTGCGATTGCTCTCCTTCTTTAAGGCCAAATATGATCTAGAGACAAAATTCCCTGCACCAAAGACTTGGTTTGCCTTTTGGGACATGAGAGGAGGACTCTCACTGGAGTTCATCCATGTTCTTTCAATTGGTAAGAAGGAAACGTCAAAGGGCCTATCTCCCTACAAGGGAGCACATGGAAGTCCTACAGCCAGCTGGTCTGACGCGTGACCTAAGACACCGAGTACCTTTCTAGCTTTTACAAGTCCTGCTGCTTTACTCGGGTGAGGACAAGTACATATTCCTGTTTCTTAAGAGATGGGAGGCTTCCATTCACCTGCCTGGTACACAAACAGAAGTCAAGCAATGTCTTCAATAGGCTCGGTTTGCTTCTCTGCTGCTCTCACAAATTGTACTCAGACAGCTACTTAGGATGCCAATTATTATTTTTCACTTTTAACTATGTCTCCTTGCCGCCATTAATTAATTTTCCCCATCTACACTGGTCTGACATGGACAGCCAGCTCTGTGGGACAGGGATGATCTATTTTGTTATGTCTACATGCAGCAGCTACTCCCTGAGGCGAACCTTTTGGTTAATAGTAATTGGGATGCAGCAATATCATCAGTCATCAGCAGCAGTCAGGTTCAGGTTCTCTTACCTGCCAGCCATTGCTTTATAATAGGCAAAGATCTGATCTGCCAGCTTGTACACAAATTGATCAAAGCACAAATTCACCTGGGGGAGAAAAAACAAGACTTCGTGAGGGTGTACCCAGCACAGAGCAGCTCCTTCCTACACATGCAAGATCAATACAATTTAACACAGAGCTCTAATTTAATACATACGTGTATGTCACACTATCTAAAACCCACACTGCAGTTCTCGCATGCTAAAGGTAAGCAGAAAATTGCAGTTACATTTCTCTCTTATAGTTTCTGCATGTTCTTAGAGGTCCTGGTCCCCCATCCTCAGTCATCTTTCTCTCTTAGGGATCTCGAGTTTCTCCTTTTCCTCTGATGTCTCATAACCCTCTACCCATCAGACAGACTCTTCCGTGCCCCCCGTGTTTGACAGCCTTTGGCTTCCATGGTTCCCCATGGTACAGCTAAGCTGAAGCCCTTAATCAGCAGAGTCTGTAAGCCCTCTAGAAATTCTGATCTTTTGAAAACTTCTCAGTCTGATGGGGTATCTTTTTCAGGAGATGCCTATGATGAATTCACTGAACTGCTGGGTGGGGCTGTCAAACAGGGCAGTGTGACCCCAGCGAGCTCTTTCCGTACAATAAAGATGAAGAGAACTTACTTCAGCTTCAATTTCATCGTATAGGAACTGCTTTTTGAACTTGGTCAAGGCATAGTACGCGCTGTCATTATAGAGGTCCAAGGGGTAGAGTACGTACCTGAGGGCAAGAAGATGGATAATGTCTTAAATTAACTTTAGAGCATATCAGCATAAAGGGCAGCCGGTGCATGTTTCTGGCTTCGTGCAAAAATGGCTTTTCTCTGACTTCACTCCTATCACTTCCACTCTT